GAGAGTAATAAACAAACTGTCTAAATCATGAATTTATTACACATTACCTGACTAAGGGATTAACACATACATAGCCTAATTCGCTTTCAATATGTGAATCAACTTGTTTTTTAAACTTTTATGATGGTTCTAATAACATTAAACTAAACTTCTTTCTGTCTTAACAAATTTCTAGAAACGTCTAGATTAGAAACATAGCCTAGACTAGTATTTAGAGAATTAAGTTTTAATTTTCTGTATAAATGAAGGTGGTATTCATTGATGAAGAGAAAGCCTAAGCTTAACCATCAGATACTCTCATTGTAATAAAGTGTTGTAAGCTATATCTTTAATGTTTTAATATGCTAGTAAGAGGGCATAGAAAGCCTAGGAAGTTCGAAGGATGTGACGTCAAGTTCTTCTAGTACACTCGAACTTAGATTATAAATACAACGTATCGCGAAGGGTCTGATTAGTTAGAGAGGTAGTCATTTCAAAATAGAAAATGAACCAGTCAGTATATTAGTTATTTCCATTATTTTGAAGTAAGTTGATTTGTTTTATGTTCTTTAACGTCCTTTGTAATCTAGGCCTACAGAAAACTTACAGTAGTGTACAAGCGTTCACATATCTAGAAACCTCACCTAATTTAATATGTGGAATAATAGAACTTATTTGTTCCACACCTGTTACCAATACTGCTATGCCACCTGTTACTATTGGATGTTCCTGGACTACTCCATCCATGGAATTATCAAGTCCAGTATCGGGAGTTATCTGGCTAATTCAACATTGGCCAATCGGGAAACCAACAGACTATGAAGGGAAGGTACCATGGCAGTCATACCAAGCTCAGTTTGAAATAATTTCCAGAGTGAATGGTGAATAACAAGCTATTCAAATTGGTGCCCATAAAAAAGGACTAGCTTTGAGGACATTAAGTAATCTTTTGGCAAAAAGCTGTAATAACTACCAAGTATTGGTAGTCACCTTATCCAACATATTTGGAGTGTAATACAAGAAAAAAGTTTCCAGAGTAAAGTTCCATAAAGGGGAGTTGAAGGGTAAAAAATACATTACTTGAAATTGCAGAAGCTTTGGAAAGTCTTGCCCAATTATCTTACCTGGACACTCCTCATGAAATGATGGATTTGTAGGCTCATGACCAATTTATATACGCTATAACAGGTGATGATATGAGGATCAAACTGAAACAAAGTAGATATGTGCCCTTAAAGGACGCTCTGCAGTTAGTAATATAACTAGAATTCAATAAGGTTGCAGATGAACTAATAAAGGTACCATCTAGAAATTACAGGAATATCAGACTCTGCAGTATTGCATTGAAACATTATCCCTTACAGTAATATTCTAGAATAATTGAAATAATTAATTAGACAGTTAGTTGAACAAAATAGTGGAAATAAAAACAAAAGATAATAGATGTTTCAAGTGCTAATGAGATATCAAGAAAACAGGAAGTAGTTGGATTTATGAGGCGAATTTCACCAGGGAATACCCCATCTAATATAAATTAGAAAAGAAGTTCATTATTTGCATACAATATTACACAAGTCCATGGGCTTATTGGTAGAAACCTTGCAGTATGATGATTGAAACTATTTCCACAGCTACATTTGTTTGTCCCAATTTGTTAATGAAAGATGTACAATTGCCTTCAGAGATGAAGAACGAAGAAGGCTTGATGCAGACAGCAGATGGACATAAAGTTCCAACAAAGGGGATATTGGAAGTTACTCTTACTATAGAAAACTACTATATGCCTCATGATGCGTGTATTCATCTCAGTTTGTTAATGAAAGGTAGGAAATTACCTCCAGAAATGAAGAAAGCAGAGAGGTTGATGCAAACAGCAAGTGAATATAAAATTTAAGTAAAAGGGAAGTTGGAAGTACTCTTACTGTAAGAAGCTTCTCTGTGCTTCCTAAAGTGTGGGTGATTGACATCGAGGAATAGTGCATTTTTGGAACTAACTTCATGCAGAGACTTGAATGTAAGATCAGGCTTCCTTCAAGTAGCTTCATAGTCTATGACCAGGAAATAGCTGTGCACTAAATTGGGTGAAAATTGGAACAGTGATCATTGTGTCACCAAGTAGTGAGATACTCATATCAGGAACTAAGAACAATAATTCTCCATCCAGTGACTGGGGCATATTGGAACCAAATACTCCAACATATCATGATGGATTGGTGGTTGGAAGAGCACTCCTGGATGTGAAGAATAAAGATGTCATACATGATTTTACCTATGAAAGATTCAAATAGGTTTGTGAAAAAGTAAAAGGTAACTATAGTGTAAATGCTGATGAAACAGGATTCCATCAAGGTGGCATGGTACGGCTGAACAGTTTTCCTCACGAGAAAGGACAAACTACAAAGTTAAGTAGGTTTTCAGAGGAGATCCAAGCCAAAAAGTCATCCATCATTATCATCTTCGGGAATACTTTAGTGAGAAAACAGCCAACTGGGTAATTCCAGAGAAGAACTTATCTGTGTAGCTTCAACTTGTGGAGAAAGCAAGAGTTCTTGATGAGACTGATTCTAGAAGATCATCAAGGAGGGAGCCACCAGTGGATTCTCTCAGTCATCTATCTATGGAGAAACCTCCAATGACAAGACACCATCCAATACTTATACTACAGGCCTCGGAAGAAGCCCAACAAAACATCTTGATGAATGCACGAGTTAGTGCTCTATTTTATTTGTTGTATTAGGACTGGTCAGAAAAGGGCAGTGTTGTAAGATATATTTTTAATGTTATAATTTGTCAACTAGAGGGGTTTGAACACATAAAAAGCTCGTAAGATTGGCGTCAAGTGTTTTTCTAGTGCATTCAAATGTAGATTACAAATATAACATTCCGTGAAGCGTTGCTAGGCTAATTAAAGAGTGTAGAATGATTTCAACATAGAGAGTGAAACAGTCAATGTGTTAACTACCGTGGTTACTTCACACAGTTGATTCGTTTCACTTTAGTTAACGTCATTTGTAACATAGGCTTATAGCAAATTTATGACAGTGTATAAATGTTCAAATTTGTAAAAACGTTAAAGGAAGAAATAAAGTAATTCATTATCGTTACATGTACTGGATGTTGAATTATTTTCACCAGATAATATACTACAGCAAAGGAATGGAAAAAACATAACATGTTTTTTTTATACGAATTAATGGGATATTCGTTCAGGAAGAGGAAGTTCAAAGGAAGAATTTTGCACATAAACTGATAATGAGGCTAGAAACGCTTAAGAGCAAGTGTGTAATGATGTAAACTGATAATGAGGCTAGCAACCCTAGAAGTTTAGGAGCAAGTGTTTAATGATGTAGTGTATACAATTGCCAGAGTAGCTGAATGTATCATAATTGCAAAAAGATCAGTGATTAGAAAAATATTATCAAGGCTATACGAAAGTTTTTGAAGAAATAAATTTAATTTGTGCAACAGAGATGAAAAATGTCCACACAATGAAAACCTTTTTTTTTCATTGTTTTGAAGAGTGAAGTGTCTAAGCAATACAAAGAAGGAAAATGTCCACACGGTATAAAGTGTTGTTGTAAGGTGTTTATTACATGTATTTGAACCATGCAGAAAAACAAGAAAGTGTTCACACAATACATATTTTTTAAAGACTTTTTCTTGTGTGCTTGAAGTGTTCAGCAGAGAAGGGTAATGTCCACACAGTATTAAGTATTATTGTAAAGTATTTTTCTCGTGTATTTGAAGTGTTCAGCAGAGAAGGGTAATGTCCACACAGTATAAAGTGTTGTTGTAAAGTATTTTTCTTGTGTTTGAAGTGTTCAACAGAGAAGGGTAATGTCCACACAGTATAAAGTATTGTTGTAAAGTATTTTTATCGTGTGTTTGAAGTGTTCAACAGAGAAGGGTAATCCCTTCTCTGCTGAACACTTCAAACACACGAGAAAAATACTTTACAATAATACTTTATACTGTGTGGACTAATGTCCACACAGTATATTGTTGTAAAGTATTTTTATCGTGTGTTTGAAGTGTTCAACAGAGAAGGGTAATGTCCACACAGTATAAAGTATTGTTGTAAAGTTTTTTCTCGTGCTTGAAGTGTTCAACAGAGAAGGGTAATGTCCACACAGTATATTGTTGTAAAGTATTTTTATCGTGTGTTTGATATTTTTCGCAGCAGCTTTTCCCCCGATGTTTGTGAATTATGGTGAAAACCTGGAACACTGTTATTCTGCTCATTTTCCTTGACGCATTTCTTACCTGTGTAATTTCCTTTTAGGTGCAGTTATCTTTCTGGATTTATACTCTTTACAGATTATACAAAGGGTATAATTTATCTGTTTCCGTAGTACTGCACAACTTTATTTTCACCATATATCTTAAATGTTATAATAAAAAAAATGAACAAAATTAGATAAGAAGCAAGTACAAATGTTCATGAAGACATACAACCACAACAAACAATTGGAATAATAAGTGGACAACGATACAGGGAAGATAAGAAACAAGTAAAACTGTTCATGAAGACATACAACCACAACATACAAGTTGAATAATAAGTGGACAACGACACAGGCAAGATAAGAAACAAGTAAAACTGTTCATGAAGACATACAACCACAACAAACAAGTTGAATAGTAAGTGGACAACGATACAGGGAAGATAAGAAGCAAGTAAACCTGTTCATAAAAACATAAAACCACAACATACAAGTTGAATAGTAACTGGACAACGACACAGGTAAGATAAGCAACAATTAGAAATGTTCATAAAACCACAACATACAAGTTGAATAGTAAGTGAACAACAACACAGGCAAGATGAGAAACAATTAGAACTGTTCATAAAAACACAACACACAACTTCAATAGTAAGTGAACAACAACACAGGCAAGATAAGAAACAATTAGAACTGTTCATAAAAACCACAACACACAAGTTGAATAGTAAGTGAATAACGACACAGGCAAGATAAGAAGAAAGTAAAAGTGTTCATAAAAACACAACACACAAGTTCAATGTTAGTTTAACAGACAGATGACTTTTTTTTTTCGATTCAGAGCTTTCAGTCCCTTTATTAAAGTTTCATTTTGTAAAACATGCATATATAGTAGTTCCTTACAGAAAACAACTTAGACGTGGTTAGAAGTATAAGGTTTTCTTTTGGTCACGTTGCAGGCGGAAGGCTTCTCTCCCTGCAAAACAAAGAAAATTATAACTACTGAAATTACAAACTGGTTTCTAAACTTGGTTGAACTAGGGTGTTTCCAAACATAAATAACTGATCATGTTCCCTAGCATAACCTCAACAGATTATTAAACATAATCATAACAACTGATTAGTTGCTACAATGGAAATATCAGGCCACTAGAAATTACTAAAACAGATATTTTTACAAAAACAATTTTCTAACACACGAATAAACAATAAATTTTCTAAACTGGACTTTGTGACGTGTATTAGGATAACAATCTGGTCACTACAATACTTATATCTTATCACTGTTTGATATTAGATACACATGATGTAATCACTGGACCTCGTGATGCAAAATGGACGTAAATACTGTACCAGCCAAATCACTACATTTGTATCTTCTGATTGGTTTTCATTACACACATGATGCACTCACTGGACCTCATGACAAAAAATGGAGATTGATGTTTAAATTATGATTACATTGTACAGATCATCTTTGCCCATCTGTAAATCTATCTACCAGTTGCACTATTGAAGTTTCTTGAGCTCTGCTTTCAATTATTTGTTTCATTTTTTGTGAAATATAACAACGTACTTTTTTATAGTTAATACACGTGTTTTCTAGGTAAAAATATACGCGTACTGCTTTTTTATTTAATATATATATATAAAACACAGTTTTGTCTTACTTTGTATGTTTCACAGATCAGATCGAAAAGATCATTTTGTGCTTGATCCTGAATTTCCTCGGTATGAACCTATAGACAACCAGAAAAAAAAAAAGAAAAACAAAAGTGGGACTTGATACATAAACTTTCTGTGGACTCAGTCATAGTAGTCGTCTGTTTTTATATTAATTCTTATGATCTAATACCACACACTAATCATTAATTGATATCCTTTAACACACTAATCATCTCTGTAACGGTAATCTTGGTACCCTGCTACACATCTATATTTGACTTACTGGTATCCTGGTAAACATTTAATTTCAACTGATTGATATCCTGGTAAACATTTAAATTGGACTTACTGGTACCCTGATACACATTTAAATTGGACTTACTGGTACCCTGATGCAAATTTTTTGGACTTACTGGTATCTTGTTATACCTCCAAATTGGTATATATTAGTTTTTTTATTGGTGTGATGGTCACACTTTCATCCCAGCAATTTTTAAAAATATAATCACAGGATCCAATTAGAAGCTTTAATAATAATTATATAAAATTACCTCCCCATATATGCTACAAATAAGCAGTTAAAAAAGAAACTCATTATGATATCATACGTTTCATTTGCAAATGTTATATCATGATACTGTTCATTAATGATCATCATGTTTGAATGTGTCACAACTCGTTCGTATTGCGATGATGTCATAGTTTTCTACACGGTGTACATGCAAGTGTATCCCTACTTAACTTGTAATTTACAGGATATACAGATAAGATAGTAATGCTTGTTTACCTTGTTATGAATCCCTACTTAACTCGTAATATACAAGATATACAGATAAGATAGTAATGCTTGTTTACCTTGTTATGAATCCCTACTTAACTTGTAATCTACAGGATATACAGATAAGATAGTAATGCTTGTTTACTTTGTTATGAATCCCTACTTAACTCGTAATATACAAGATATACTGATAAGATAGTAATGCTTGTTTACTTTGTTATGAATCCCTACTTAACTCGTAATATACAAGATATACTGATAAGATAGTAATGCTTGTTTACTTTGTTATGAATCCCTACTTAACTCGTAATATACAAGATATACAGATAACATAGTAATGCGAGTTTACTTTGTTATGAATCCCTACTTAACTCGTAATATACAAGATATACAGATAAGATAGTGTTGCGTCAGCGAGATTACGTGACTATTCTCACGCCCTCTGCTTTCTAGAACTATTCTGTACCTTGGCGAATGCTCTAGCATTTACTAGATATAGGGTAGTCTGGTATATAAAAGAGGGTGACAACGTGACAGAATGTATGTGTAGACAGTGAGTAATTGATCTGCAGTCAGAGAGTATTATTGAGCACGTTCGTTGTTATAGGGTTTGTTTTAGCGCGATTGTTGAAATTAAGTGTATCGTAAAGTTATATTCGGAAAGAATAAACCAGTTTTATTAAGTAAGGACTTGTGTCGCTAAAGTTTCGTCGGAACGAAGTTACGGAAAGTTAATTAACAAACGGAGCCGTAACAATAGTAATGCTTGTTTACTTTGTTATGAATCCCTACTCAACTCGTAATATATAAGATATACAGAGGAGATAGGAAGGGTAGTTTACTTTGTTATGAATCCCTACTTAACTCTTAATCTACAAGATATGCAGATATATTAAGGCTAATATACTTTCTTATCAATCCTTACTTAAGTTTTAATCTACAAGATATAGAGATAAGATAGGAAGGCTGGTTTACTTTGTTATGAATCCCTAGTCTACAAGATATACAGATAAGATAGGAAGGCTGGTTTACTTTGTTATGAATCCCTAGTCTACAAGATATACAGATAAGATAGGAAGGTTGGTTTACTTTGTTATGAATCCCTAATCTACAAGATATACAGATAAGATAGAAAGACTAGTTTACTTTCTTATTAATCCCTAATTAACTCTTAAGCTACAAGATATACATATGATATATTAAGGCTAATTTACTTTCTTATCAATCCCTGCTTAACTCTTATGCTACAAGATATATAGATAAGATAGTAAGGCTAGTTTACTTTCTTATCAATCCCTACTTAACTATTAATCTACAAGATATACAGATGATATATGTATCTAAATATTGTTACGACAGTGGAAGTCACGTGACTCTGGTACAACGTCATGAGTTTCTTGAAGGATCTGCGAACATCACGAATATCCTAGTATTTGCTAGACGCCCTCTATTTTGGTATATAAGCCCGGCAAATAAAGCGGAGATAATAATAGCAGACGGAGATTTAGAGACAGATAATCCAGTCAAGTCGTAAGTAAAGTGAGTGAATCGTTGTGAATTATAGCGTGTGTTTAAGTTAAAGTGACTGGAAATTAAGTGTTTTGCAAAGTTGTATTGAGAAAGAATAAACTAGTTTTATTTATGAAAGGACTTGTATCTCTGAACTTCTTCGGAAAGAATTTTTACGGGAAATTAACAAACGACCAGAGACGCAACAATATGATTCCTCTCTCACAACACTTACACCATTCAAGGTAATCCACGGTGAGTATTGGTGAGGGGGGTCTAAAGAGAGCGTTTTCTTAGCCATTTCATACTCTAGGTTATTTCCGTGAGTTCCATTAGCACAGGTAGAAATGGCTTCCCAATCTAATTGTAGAGACTCGGCACACTGAAAATACAATGCAAGTTTCAGGAGGTTAAAATCAGTAGTTATTTCCTAGTGTACATATTTAACGATATTCGGTGTCTTTCAGATGACATATTTAAATCATCATACTTTCTGAAGTTACAGTTTTCATACACGCAAATATACAGTTCTTATTCTTCAATGATGTATTAATTACTAATTTCTTATAAATTACATGGTATTCTAACAAATAAAAACCTTTTCTCCAGCCTGCCAAGGTTCATCAGCAGCAGAAATGCACTGGATGAAATTCAAGCTGGTTTTCGTGCTGGTGATATAGAAAAGTCCACACGTCTGTAAAAAAGTAATGAAAGTTTCACAAATTTTTAACAACCTTCCATTATTTTTCATACAAAATCCACTTTTCCGACCCCTTAATAATTTTCTCCAAAAGGACAACAATTCTCTATTAAACATATCAGAAGAAATAACAATAACTTTATCAAACTATCATAAAAACAAAAATACTCACTAGAACATTTAAAAACTACAACAATAATACTCTATCATTAAAAACTATCACAAAAAACAACAACTATACATTAAGACTAGTGCATGCTAACCGTCTCACACGTTATCAGTCATTTTCAAGATTACTTTAGTTTAAGTATCGTGGATGGTGAGCTCTCCTTTTCAGGGCTACCAACTAACACACGTTTAACAGAACCATTAAGGACTACTTTTGCCAGTTTTTAAACATTAACATTCGCTTGCAAGACTACTTATCGTATACTTTTTTTCAGGAATGTTTAAGCTAATTACTATACGTAATTTCAACAACGTTTTTTCAAACTATATTTTGTTAGTATTCTCACCTTTTTACATTCGTGACTACTTAGTAGTCGCACACTTAATGTCAGCCTTTTCTTGATTTTTGTTACAACTGGTTTGTGTGGTTTTCCATAGGATAAAGGTACAGAAAAGTTATCTTAAATATGAGATTGCTTTGTAAAAGATCAATAGAAGACCAGACTATATATATAGCACTAGCGTATAGCTGTCAAAAATGGCGGGACAAGTACAATCACCCCCCAACCCAGTTACTGTGGTTATTATAAGTTATACGGACAATTTCCATCAAACCTAACCCAGTTACTGTAGTTATTATAAGTTATTCGGACAAATTTACTCAAACCTAACCTAGTTACTGTGGTTATTATAAGTTATTCGGATAATTTCTATTAAACGCGAGGCTAACACTAAATTTTAATAATTACTTTCAGATGCTTTTAAATTTGGAAGTCGCTGTTAGCTACGTTTTCGGCCAAAGCCCAAATCAGGTCAAGTGGGAACAGCTGAATGACCAAAAAAATATATTATATTTCTTACCTGGACAATATTTGAATAACATTCATTAGGACCATGCTGACACGTGAATTTCCACTTGTCTCCATCTTTAGTAACCTAAGAAATACATTTATCTTGAAAAATTATTTTACAAATCTAACCAAATATTTTAATAAAATTAGAGAACAAAGAATCCTGAAAAATTATTTTACAAACTTAACCAAATGTTTTAATAAAACTAGAAAACAAAGAATCATGAAAAAATATTTTACAAACCTAACCAAATGTTTTAATAAAACTAGAAAACGAAGAATCATGAAAAATTATTTTACAAACCTAACCAAATGTTTTAATACAATTAAAAAACAAAGAATCATGAAAAAATATTTTACAAACCTAACCAAATGTTTTAATAAAATTAGAAAACAAAGAATCATGAAAAAATATTTTACAAACCTAACCAAATGTTTTAATAAAATTAGAAAACAAAGAATCATGAAAAATTATTTTACAAACCTAACCAAATGTTTTAATAAAATTAGAAAACAAAGAATCCTGAAAAATTATTTTACAAACTTAACCAAATGTTTTAATAAAACTAGAAAACAAAGAATCCTGAAAAATTATTTTACAAACCTAACCAAATATTTTAATAAAATTAGAAAACAAAGAATCCTGAAAAAATATTTTACAAACCTAACCAAATATTTTAATAAAATTAGAAAACAAAGAATTCTGAAAAAATATTTTATAAACCTAACCAAATGTTTTAATAAAATTAGAAAACAAAGAATCATGAAAAATTATTTTACAAACTTAACGAAATGTTTTAATAAAACTAGAAAACAAAGAATCCCGAAAAAATATTTTACAAACTTAACCAAATGTTTTAATAAAATTAGAAGACAAAGATAATAACAAAAGGAAATGGCAAATTCACTAGGTAAAAAAAAATCGTTCTCGTATGAACAGCCCGGCACTAATATACATTCCCTGTATGTAGACAACTGAAACAACAGAGGTGACAGTTACTGTTCCTTAAAAGAATCCTATCACATTCTAGGTCTGACTTAGGGATCAAGTAATTCAGTTCTATATAAACATTCTGCTTTGATTTCTGAACTCAATTATCTCGTGATTAAACATTCACTTTGTTCATTGATTTTTGGTATGGAAAAACTCAACACAAAAATAATCTTTATTTGTAATTTTAATTTTCCAGTAGAATGTGTTTCGGGTGAAGTCCCTTAATCAGGCGACTGGGACTATAATGAGTATTCTTACGATTTATAAGCATATAGAAGAGTTTTATTGATGGTGGAACATACTACATGTTTCAATATAACATTGGTCTAACTTATTCAGGTACTTTTTATAGCCGACTACGTTTTGGAGGAATTTCCTTCATCAGATGAATGGGATAATATTGGGTTAGTCCTATTCGCCCGATGAAGAGCATAAGCCCGAAAGGTAATGTAGTTCAAGATTAAAATTACAAATCGAATTATTTAGATGAAATTTTCCTTATTAAAGTCCTGTCAAAGTGAGTAATCAACGCAATGCTTTATTATTTCATATATATCTGCTTTAATTTTATCGATATGTTAGAAAACCCCATTTGTTACCATTTGAGCAAGAATACGACTCAGTGTCATGTTGAATTATAGTGCACGACAAAGTATATGTTTTGATTATAGTTGACTATAGTGTTAGATTATGGTAAATTACTCAAAATATTAATAATGGTTGGAGACGGCTTGAATGGGTAATGAAGAAGAACTTTAATATAAGTTTAACATAAGAGCAAATGTACAACGTTTCGACCTGATGATGACAAAACCTTGTCGAAACGTTGTACATTTGTAGCTAGTTTGTTGGTTCAGTTATCAGTATGGTTAGTGTCAAGTAGTTGGATGGTTCAGTTATCAGTATGGTTAGTGTCAGGTAGTTGCTTTGTTGTTTCAGTTATCAGTATGGTTAGTGTCAGGTAGTTGCTTTGTTGTTTCAGTTATCAGTATGGTTAGTGTCAGGTAGTTGCTTGGTTGGTTCAGTTATCAGTATGGTTAGTGTCAGGTAGTTGCTTGGTTGTTTCAGTTATCAGTATGGTTAGTGTCAAGTAGTTGGATGGTTCAGTTATCAGTATGGTTAGTGTCAGGTAGTTGCTTGGTTGTTTCAGTTATCAGTATGGTTAGTGTCAGGTAGTTGCTTGGTTGGTTCAGTTATCAGTATGGTTAGTGTCAGGTAGTTGCTTGGTTGGTTCAGTTATCAGTATGGTTAGTATCAAATAGTTAGTTGCTTGGTTCAGTTATCAGTATGGTTAGTATCAAATAGTTGCTTGGTTGGTTAAGTTATCAGTATGGTTAGTGTCTAGTAGTTAGTTGGTTGGTTCATTTATCAGTATGGTTAGTGTCAAGTAGTTAGTTGGTTGGTTCAGTTATCGGTATGGTTAGTATCTAGTAGTTAGTTGGTTGGTTCACTTATCATTATGGTTAGTGTCTAGTAGTTAGTTGGAACCAACCAAGCAACTATTTGATACTAACCATACTGATAACTGAACCAAGCAACTAACTACCTGACACTAACCATACTGATAACTGAAACAAGCAACTAACTACTAGACATTAACCATACTGATAAATGAACCAAGCAACTAACTACTTAACACTAACCATACTGATAACTCATTTATCAGTATGGTTAGCGTCTACTAGTTAGTAGGTTGGTTCATTTATCAGTATGGTTAATGTCTAGTAGTTAGTTGCTTGGTTCAGTTATCAGTATGGTTAGTATTAGGTAGTTAGTTGCTTGGTTCAATTATCAGTATGGTTAGTATCAAGTAGTTAGTTGGTTGGTTCAGTTATTAGTATGGTTAGTGTCTAGTAGTTGGTTGGTTCAGTTATAAGTATGGTTAGTATCAAGTAGTTAGTTGCTTGGTTCGGTTATCAGTATGGTTAGTATCAATTAGTTAGTTGGTTGGTTCAGTTATTAGTATGGTTAGTGTCTAGTAGTTGGTTGGTTCAGTTATCAGTATGGCGAGTGTCAAGTAGTTAGTCCGTTGGTTCATTTATCATTACGGTTAGTGTCAAGTAGTTGGTTGGTTGGTTCAGTTATCAGTATGGCGAGTGTCAAGTAGTTAGTCCGTTGGTTCATTTATCATTATGGTGAGTGTCAAGTAATCAGTTGGCTGGTTCAGTTTTGAAATATTGAACTTGTGTTTCGACGAAGAAATAGGAAATACGCTCTACGATTCGTTGCAAAAGAGTTAGCAGGTAAGTGAAATTGTTTCTTAACTATTCTACTATGAATTTAGGCCTATCAGCGAACATAAGTTAGCTTGCAGAACTTGCAATTGGACAAATAAATCGTTTTCGTTATCTTTCATTAAGGGACTAGATTTCACATTACTTTTTAACGAATAATTCTAAAGAACAGCAATAATAACGTAGTTAAATTATTTATATTATATTATGAATGAGTGAGTTAATTACAATAATTGACTCCTCTATTAGATTATTGATTATAGTCCAAAACGACTTAAAAAAATATTTTTTTTTTCGATTTGAAATAATAAAACACAACATGTTTCTTGAAATGGAGCTACAGATATAATAAAACACAACATATCTTAGAATTTTTCGTGTTTGAACCAACCTGAGCATTTCCAAAAGGAACAAGCGTCAGGTTCATCACTACTGACAAGTGAGAATAAGTTGGCCACAGTTGTCCTACGATGAATTGCCGACAGTAGGGACATAACGATTCATAATACAGGCCTAAGGAAACTGGAGGGGCATCAACCTAAATTAAGAAATCGCCAGAGATTATGAACTAAACACAGAAGTTTTTATTGCGAAATTGAAAACAAGTACAAGCTTTAGTTGATTCAGAAATAACGATAATATGTATGTTATTCTATATTAATTAATGTTGATATAATGCATTCATTTTTATAACTATTAAGGAAATTTTTCAGATGCTAATTGTTTTTTTTCATATTCTGTATCTTTTTCAGATACAGTCATTAACATTATGCATATTATTCAGGTACTTATATTAACTGGTATTCTGTACTTAATTGAGATACTATTATTAAGTTTATGCATATTATACATATAACATTTTGTTTTGGCAATATATCTGTATGTTGCTCACAATTTGTATACACTATAATATGAAAATAAGACAGATCCGGGATGAACTTTCACAAAACAACATTTTCTACACGAAAGTGGAACGAATCATCTCAAACAGGACACAAAAACAAATCAACATGATTAAAGTACACGCACACGAAACACGGGATATCCAGAGTGTAATATTTAATGGTGTTGTTACGTCTCCGTTCGTTAGTTAATTTTCCGTAAAAATTCTTTCCGAATAAACTTTACCGATA